AACAAAGAGGCGTACTTGAAAAAAAAAAGAGTGCACGTTTAATACGTTTCACTCTAAAAAACTGACCTTTCCTCAGGTATCTTCACATACAAAGTGTACATAATTATGTATGAAATATTCACGCAATGTGGGTAAAGCGAATTGGTTCCGTGTTCATCCGAAAAACGTCGTGAAAGTCGAACGGATCCCATGAAAAATCGCGAACGATATTTTCCGATGGGTGAGCATAAAATGCAAGGAAGGAAAAGAAGCGTGGAAGAAAAATAGAATAAAATTTTATATATAATAAAAGAAGTGCCGATGATGTAAATCGGCAATTAACGATGATCCAGAGGATTACACTGAGAAAGGATCGAGGCTAAAGGCCGTAATAAATCTCGACATTCCTAAGAGCGCCGCGTCCGATGAACAACGGGTTAATCAATCTCGGAAGAAGAGAATCTTCGCAAGTGATATTACGGCAATAACATTTTAAATGCAGATAGTGAAAATGCGCGTTGGTGCTTAAATTTATTCTTGTGCAATCTGTTATGTAAGATTGAGAATTGCACGTTCCATAAAAATTATTTCTTACAGATAGGAAAACTTTTGTAATATATTTTCACTATTCTAACAATTCATTTCAATGAAGAAAAATTTTAAACTAACAAATTGAAAAATTAATCCAATAAAGATAAAAGAAAATTTACAACCCTTTAAATTCAAATAATATTTTTCTATGGTTTTCATAGATTTTTTACATAAATTTTATATAAATTTCAACTGTTATATAAATTGAAAACAAAATAAAAAAACTTCTATATATAAATAGAATAATTATATTATATAACTTATGTAATCAAATTTGTTCTTTTATGTAATCAATTTCGTTTATTTTTAATGAAATTAATTAGAACTTATTCTGTATATAGAAAATATTCCATAAATTCCTTTGATTAAGAATACAATTAAAAAAAATAACGTTTTACTCTTGACACAGCAATTCTTTAAATGCATACTGAAAGAAAAGTGCAGAATTGAAAATATTTCCTTCTATTTGCAAATTAAAACAAATCAAATCAGCATTTTTTTTTTTCATTATTTCTCGTCGTGTCAATAAACTATTGTCGAGTAATTAATGAAATAATGAATTTAATGAATTGTCTATTAATTCATTAATATTTTACTAATATATTACTAGGAAATGGACAGAGAATATTTTTAATTTAACATCGTATTTTGTTATTTTTTTATGTAGCTGTTTGATCTCAAAATGAACGAATTCCAATATATTCACTCGTTTGTGTGAATCTGATTCGTTCCACATAAATATTGGAATCAATGAGCAACGATATATCGTCGGTCGGTTGCATTTTGTAGCCTCCCCTAGAATTAATTTATTATATTCCTGCGCAACAACAAATTAATTATACAAGATATATTATTAATTATAATAATTATTGTTTATTGCCAAATGTATAAATAATTAATAGGAATAATAAATATATTAATAATATATATTTTATATTATTCCTGCACATCAAATATAAAGTTCATAATCATTGAAAGTCCAAATTTCTCAAAAATATAGTAGAATTTCAATACTTATTTTAACTCAACTTTAATTTAAGTTTTAGAGCAGTTAAGTATGTATTTATACAATTTATTATTATTTAAAACATAAAATTCGAAATTTTGGAAGTTTGCAATATAAATACTTAATTTCTATTAACAATTTTTAAATTAAATTAATTAGAAAATGTTTAAACCATGATAATATATTAAGAAAATGTCGAAAGTGAAAATGATAATAATGAATTGTGAATAAACTTGAATTTATTGCAAAATTCAATGAGGAAATTCAAAAGTAAATCAAAGTTACCTTTGGTTCAAAATGAGCCAATAAAAATTGTTAAATAAACCAATTTTTAATAATTGTCAATAAGACACAACTATTTGAAAAGAAAACTGCTTTAGTTAATTAAATTTGAATCCTATAAAATGAAATGTATTCTGTTATTGACTCAAAATAACATATTTATACTGTAAGTATTACATTTCCAATTGAGAATTATGCACGTAGCGTCTGGAAGTAATTCATTTTCGTTTTGAAAATACGCAACACAGCAGCGACAATTTATAATTTATGATATCCACATAAGTATATTAATGGAAAATTACTCACGTTTTACGATTTAAAAGATCACTGAGCAATTACAGACAGCACTTGTAATATTTGCAGCATTCGAAGAGTCTTGTAACGTCACTTCGAGGAACTTGACACCAGTTGTTACGTTTCCATGACAACAGTAAAATTAATTGTAATTTAGTTCTACGTTTCAAAGCCTATCTAGATTACTGTATTCCATAAAACATAACAACAATATTTATTACAACAAATATATAATTTCAGAAATAATTAGAGTAAAATAAAGTATAAAATTTAAAAAAATACTTTTAATCCCAAAATACAAGAATTATACAATTTCATAATTATTCAGTGAATAATATAAATTTTGTCTAGAATATACAACAATTAAACTGTTTATTTTTTTTTGAAAATATTGATGGAAAATTACTCAAATTTTACGATTCAAGAGATCACTGAGGTATTTCAAACAGCAATTGTAATATTTGTAGCATTCAAAGAGTCTTGTAAAGTCATTTCAAGAAACTTGACAGCAGTTTCCATGACAACATCAAAATTAATTGATATTTAGTTCTACGTTTTAAAGCTATCTAGATAAATATTAAAAACTTGATTTAATTTCAACAGAGAATATAAGCGTAAATATACAAAATTGAAACTTATTTTTAATAATTATTCTTTGAGAATGTATAAATTATATACAATGAAAATGTAATTAAATTCAACTAGATTGTTAACTGGTGGAGAATCCTTTGTCGATTCGACCCCTTTTGAATGTCATAAATCGCTTAACGAATTCACTAGTCGTAGAACTATAAATAACTATTTCAGAGTTCGATTCCATTCAATAATTCAAGTCGCAGCAACACGGAATTACAATTCCTGTTCCCGTTTTTGTTCTCCAAAAAGTTGCACGCTCGCATTCAAGTACATAACTATATTTATGGCTTTGCTACAATCATATGTTTTCATTTAATTTAAGAAAATCTGTCCAATTTTTTGTCTATCTAATATTATCATTTTCTTTACAATTGATTAATTTAAATTAATTAAAATCTTTTCATTTATTCATACTTTTTCCTGTAGTTGCGTAACAAGTAAAAAATAATAAATGGTTAAATATCAAAAATAATGCACTTTTCATTTATTTATACTTTTTAAAGAAATTATATCTAATTGTCTTCAGAATATCTTTCTAATCTCGTAACGAACAAACGTACTTGCAACAACTGTAATCTATTATAATATTCTTAGAGTTGCGTAAGAATTAAAAAAGTAAGAATGGTCTAAATGTCAAAAATAATGTACTTTTGATGACTTAATTACTTCTAGACAATACAAATGATGTCCTCACGAAAAATACTCTCTCACTCTCTCTCTCTCTAATCTAAGCGTGTTTCTGCTGTTAAGTGTATTGCTTTGTACAAACACCCTCCGAAAACATCCACCGTGTGACACGTGATTAATTTAGGAATTTGGGATGCTCCATAAATTTCCCGTAGAATGTAAGACCACATTTAGGACAAGCAGTGTAATCATTTATTATTGTTTACTTTGCGAAAACATTGAGATGAAATTTTCTGTATAAAGGAAATTGAAAGAAAATTGATATTTCGTTTCATCATTTTAGGATTTCATATTGATATTTTATATTTCATTGTTTTTTCTGTTTTTATTTTCTTTTCTTTTTGTCTATGTCAAAAAACTGTTCAACTCATTGCCATAATTGTGGTAGATTGTGTATGATTAAAAATTAAAAAAAAGGATTTTAAATTGATATTTTATATTTCATCAGTTTAGGCTTTAACATTATAAATTTTCAACAAGAAATACTTTTAAAATTTAATTTATATTATTATAACGACTTTTGTTGAATTGTTTTAAATTTAATTTTAAATTCTTATATTTAAATTTTCTACTCTTAACTCTTTTCAATTTTTCATATATAAATAACAGAATTTTAAACTTAAATTTTCAATATTTTATGTCTATAAATTTTAGCTTTACAAACTAAAATATATGTTTATTTTCACTTTACATTTATAAATATTAAAATCATGTTTTATACTTTGATTTTTAACATTATCACTTTGTGAAAATCTGTAAAAATTAAAAAAAAATCTGTTAAATAAATTTTCAATATAATTATTATTAATAAAATAACTTTACATTTAGAAATTAGATTTTTACTGTTAAAAATACTTTTAGAAAATGTTTTTACACTATACAAAAATCTAAGTGATTCGAAATTATCTAATAGACAATGAGATATACTACATTTAGACTGAAATCTTACTATATTTCAAACTTAATGTGTATGTGAAAAGCATTGAAAATAAACAAAAATATAAAATAAATTTAAGAAAAATCATTTTATTTTCGTTTAAAAATTTTACTCTAAAATTTTATATAATTAATCATTCTTAGATGTATAGAAAATGTTCTAGAAAGTTTAAGGAATTAACATCTAAATAACTAGTGATTATATAAAATGTATAATTGGTTTTCATTTTAAGATTTAGATTATTACATTTTAAACTTTTCAAAAAGTTTTAGAAACTTTTAAGTCCAACCAATTTTATAAATAATTAATAAACATTGAATGAAAAGCATTGCGCGCATTCTTTAATCAACCATAAGAAAGCGTGGGAAACGTAATACACTTTGAAATTCGAACTAAACTGAATGCAATTGCTAGGTTTAATAATAGTTATAAATAAACCGGTGACCGAATCTGCGGTAATAAAGGAAGAAAACCGCCAAAATTCAAAACAGAAAACATCGATCCGGCTTAGGGGCCGGTCCAAAAAACGAGGGGTTAAATAAGATTCCCCTTACCGAAAAAAAAATAAATAGTGTTTGGTAGACTCACCAATTGCACTCGAAGCTGAAGAATTCAATTGGTCTCAATTGGCTATGAACATAACACAGATGCGGCGTGATCTTCCTTCCTTTGTAGAATGCACCGTCCGCAGAGCTACACAGCGTTCGTCTGACTGAATCCAAATGTAAACGAACACATGTTATTTACATTTGCTCTCCCAAACACATGTTCGGAAGAATGAAGACGCATTCTATTTTCTGGATCGCACGCACCGTGCTTTCCATCGAAAACACCGACCAACACCATCTATTATCGCGGATAACCAGTAAAAACGAACCCATTGTATACTGGAGTAGGTTATTGCGTCCATAGTAAATTCTTCTTCTGGTACACTTCATAGTTATTTTTTTTACCTTTGAGGCACTTTTAACCTATTGCAAATGTTGTTTATAGGATTACAACACTTTAACTTTGATTATTGTATAATGCTACCTTTGATGTAACCAAACAGCTGATGTTAAAGTTATGTAATATATGCTTTTCAGAAGCTCTGGTGTTACTAGTATTGCATAACAACTCTTATAGGAGGAGTCACGAACGTTACCGAAGGACTTTGAATACACCCTAAAAATTAAAAACTAAATCCTTTTAAGAAACAGAAACATTCCAATATAATAATAGAAATAATTGTTTTCAAATTATATTAACATTCAACAATTTTGTTTATATAACATATTTTGTTTTAATCATTACGGACCTATTTCTACTTTGACAATCCATAATTTAATATCCAGGGACGGATTTAGGGATTATTTTTAAGTATTAGTAGAGGTCCCATAAACAGTATTAGTCGAGGGCCCCGCAAGTTAAGATTCATACTTGAAATTAATATAAACAATTTTATGTTTTATACCAATTAAGAGTATCTTCATATTTAAGAAGAAGTAAACATTTGTTTCTACCAGACCGGAACCGCAAACCGTAAACCGGAATTTTGAACAGAACCGTAACTGTAACCGGAACGTAAAATTGCTCAATTGAGAAACCGAAACCGGAACAAAATTTTAATTACAGTTAATTTCGGTTCAATTATTATTTTTTCATTAAATTCATTCATAATTGCTTTCTTTCATGTGTGCTCTGTCAAAATTTGGAATTAGTCTCAATTTTAAATTTTAACTAACCAATTTAAATTGTTTTTTTTCGACTTTAAATTTAAATTTCAACTGGAACTGAACTGAAATTTTTAGACGAACCGAAACCGAATTTGGAACGATAAACATTTACTTGGAACGTATTCGTAAACCGGAACGAAATTAATTTCGGTTCGACTCTCCGGTTCGACATGCTACTCAAAGCATGAATTGAATACAGTAAATTTCTGCTTTAAATTTTAATAATTGAATCAAACAAATTAAGAAGTTTTTTTTGTTATTTGGAAATAACATGCAATAATTTGATTTTCTTTACCCAGAAGGCACATTAATAGATGGATTAAAACCTTAGTTTGATGCCTAAAGTATTAAGATTTGACACGATTATTGCAGTACTGGTAATTTTTAATTTTTGTTGTATTTTCTTCAATTATTTTAACAAACACTTCTATATAAATTAAACTTCATATTGATTTTATATATAATGTAGTTAATATAATAATTAGGGCAAAAATTCTTTAATCCTTTCGTCCTAATTTGTGCCAATAAATGTGTGTAAATAAATAATATCGGTAATAAAATAAATATTTTCATTGAATAATCCATAATAAAAATGTAATTTTATCTTTCATTACCATCAATTTACTTTATTATCTAACATAAATCTGTAACATGAACCAATATTAAATGTACAATAGTGCAGCAACAGTTCTTTGATCTTAAAACTCATTTTTTATATATATTTTAGAAATAATCAACAACATTTCATATTTGTTGTACTCTGTGAACTTATTTTAACTGAACCCAAATAATTTTATATATAAGTAATTTTTATTCAAACGTTTTCACAATTTTTGAACATACAATTATTGATTTTATAATAAATTAACAATACGTAATTTTCTTATTGTCTCTATTCGTTATTTAATTAAAACACATCATTCATTAATATAAAATAATTGGATAATTTTACATAAACGTTTCAATAATTACAGCTATACCTCGCATAGTGCGTTTTTGATAAGTGCGGATTCATAATAGTACGGTTTGCAATTTAAAGAGAAACCAAATTTAAATTGAGTAAAATAAATGTAATAAATTACCACTTCTTCTATACCGTCAAGTCTCTTCTTGTGCGGATTATGTTTTGCATGTATTTAGTTCATCGATTAGTCCGGTTTCAAATAGTGCGGAACCAATTACCCGCACTATGCGAAGAATTCCTGTATCATATTTAAAGTTGACTGTTAATTTCATTGTAATTGATACAATATTAAATATTAATATTACATGTATTCAAATCATTGATTTTGCGATTAAGTAATTTATATTAAATTAATTGTAACAATAAACGTAATTTTATTATGGTAATTTAATTAATTAATTAACATAAATTTATTCAACAATTCAAAGTAATTGATGCAATTTTACAAAAGGTGCATAAACGTTTCAATGATTACAGCAATACCTCGCATAGTGCGGCTTCGATAAGTGTGGATTCGCTATAGTATGGTTTGAACCAAATGATTTATCGATTATTTGTTGTATGTATTTAATTTCTCGATTAGTTCGGTTTCAAACAGTGCGGGATACTAGAGAATCCAATTACCCGCACTGTACGTGTTAATTCTGTATTATATTTATTCATTCAACAATTCAAAGTAATTTATGGTTATTAATTTTTTTATTTAAGTAATTGATATTAAATTGTCTGTAATAAAAACGTTATTTTTTTGTATGAGATGTAACGTCGTTATGAACAGTAAATGACTCTATTAACTAATTTATTGACATCAATTCGTTCCATTACTTCATGCAAAATCAATTACTTGTAAATAATGAGTTTTGTTTCAGGCTGCAAAACAACAACACTTCGAGTTTCAAAACCATAATTTACATATTCCAAGATGCACGCAAAAAAAGCAAAATCAATAGTTCCATCCAAGAAGTTTTATTAGTTTGCGATGGCGTTTATCCCGGTTATATCCAGTAGCATGCATAATTCAATAGACGTTTTCGATGTAGGTGGACAAGTCGAGTAAAATTGTAGAACTACAATCGAACATCGTCACGCGATCCCCCAAAACATTGATATGTAAACAATTTTAATATGCAAATTAATGCACCCGTAAAAAGTCACTGTAAATACGGCAGTGACAAACTCTAGTCGCAATTATAAGGGTGGTAAATTACGTGATTCGGATCTTCAACCGCATGCAATTATACATAATTAAAGCGCTCGCATTATAATTCAGTCTCTCTCGCTAGATGCACTCCAGAATGTTTGCAGCACCGTTGACGGTCTTCATGAATTTAATTGCTGAAAAATACTTCCAGAACTCCACCTGCGTTTACCAGAATCACGACCTGCTAATTGATATTGCTCGGATTCCTGCAGTGCTCGAAAGTTGTTCGCCGCAAATTCAGCACGATTGCGAGGTTCTGGTAATAAAAGCGACGCTCCTCGATCACATAGAAGATATGTACAAGTTCCGTGGGTATTCGCAATACAACAAGAGGAAATACGTTATAATAGCTGAAACCCCAATGGAAGTTGAATTAATTTTCAAAGCTCGCGCTTTAAAATTCATCGCCGATTTGTTAATAATCCTAGTGGAAGAGGAGGAATGCAATTCATTGTTTTGTTTCACCCCAAACGTAATTTTGCAACTCTTCACTCATAGATTCGTCGGATTGAATGGGAATAACGATAAGATGCTTATAGATGTTTGGTTTTCGAGAAACTCCAGTTTCTTGCATGGCGATAAAGTTTTGTTCCCTGAAAAAATCAAGAATCAGCAAGGTCGGAATTTCACTGTAGCTTCTTTCAGCTACTTACCGTTTTCTGATTTCGGTAAGTGAATGGTTTGGTGATGAATCGTTGATTTGATTATTCTTTACAGAATCCAAAGAAGGATCCGAACTCATGTTGATTTATGAATATACCAAAAGGCATAACAGTACGTTTGTTTATAAGAAGAAAGGTCCTTGGGGGACTGTTAATAAGGATTTTACTGGCACAGGGATGTTTGGGGCTTTAGTTAGTGATGAATCAGATGTGGCTTTGAGTAATTTATATGTGCTTTTTCACCAATTGAAACTATTGTAATTATTTTTTGCAGATGGATTATTTTTGGAATTCGACATCTACCGATTCTTCGACGTTTCTCATTCTTATACGTTCCTTGAATTAACTTGCTTAGCTCCACCACCAAAGTATAGTATTTCACTTAAATTTAATATTAACTATTAAAATTTTTAAAAAATATATGACAAGCAATGAATAATAAATTGTGATTAAGAAAGTATAACTTTCATAAGGTTTGCTAACAAAATTTCACTATTCTTATTCAATATAGAAAAATATATTAATTATGATTTAATTTTAGGATTTCTATCGACTGGAAATTCCTTCTTCCAAGAATGAACAGCTCGTTTCTAATTGTGACGCTCTTGACTTTCGCGTTGATGGTTCTGCTCCTATGCGTCTCACGCATCCATTCAATTCCTAAATATATGTATGTTATTAATTTGTAATAATCTTAGATAATCTCTGCTTTCGATTTCAGGTCTTCTAGATTAACGTTTTATCAGTATGTCGAAATGTTCGTATCGAACATTTTAATGATCATGAGGACTCAATTGCAGCAACCTTCGAACGAAATCAACAGATCAGCTTTCAGGATAAAACTAAACCTTTTTTTGATGTTCTTAACATCGGTAGTGCTGACTTCGAAATACTCGATGGGTTTATCCAGCGTCATTGCAGTCCCTTAGTTTGTGTTACAAATGCATTTGAAATGTAATCAATTTGATTTGTGTATTTCGTTTTAATTGCAGCTACGACGGAGCCATAAATTCTCCGGAAGATATGGCCGATAGGAACATGAAATGGATGGCCTTCTCTATAGACTCTTGGTTAAATTACATAAAATACGACGAAACTGTACGCAACTGTTTGTTATCGATGTGTGCGAACAGAAACGTTTTATTTGTTTTACTTTGCAGAAAGTTTATCGTAAAATACGGGAAAACTCTTTGGAATTGGATGTGACCAAAATCAATGAAGATGTAGGTTTTGGAATTCAACGACTATTGTCAGGTAATACACATTTACGTCCAGTATTTCCATCTTCCAATTAAAGTTATAATTAATAATAATTATAGGAAAATCGATAGAATGCATGTATAATTGATATTTCCATCTTTCAGTTAAAGTTAATAATAAATATAACAAATTGGTTATTAAGTTTTTTTTTAGGTTTTTACGTTGTTAATTCGAATCTTAATGATTCGATTCTGAAATCGCATAGAATCATGAATAACTACGTTTATAGAGCAAATTGTGTTTTCTTCTTAAGGAAAAACTCAATTTTACTGCCATCTTTCAATAAGCTGTTGCTTGAAGCTCATCAAGCAGGTCTTGGAATTAAGTGGGAAACTGACGTAACTATTAGATGAAACTTTCAGTATTTGCATGAAATTCGAATGAATGTTTTAGAGTATACTGAATTCGATGGGATTATCGAAGCAATTCGCTTTGGTTGAATCTACTTACAAATTGTCTGGAAGTCAAAAGTTGAAGTATGATCATATTCGAGGAGTTTTGGGAATTTGGTTTTTCGGTTCTGTAGCGTCGATAATTTGCTTCATTTTAGAGTTGTCCACGATGTTAAACTGTCGGTGTTAATAAATTTAATAAATCAAAAGAAAACCCTTAATAATTTTAATTGATATATCACAAATATACAACCAATATATATTAAAATAATAATAATAGTACAATAAAAACACTAATAATATGAATTAGATGTAGTCGTCTGTACTAACGGAATATAAACCAAAAAAGGAATGTATAAATAGTCGTAAATGGAATAAACCAATACAATAAAATCTACGAAATTCTCTCAACGCTAAAATAAAGATTCAACACCACTAAACTACCATATTTGGTTACAAAAAAAATGGTTTTGCAAGAGATTTGTGTGTGTATAAGAGCAAAAAAATATGTGGACTTGCTTTCTTAAAGGGGGTTTGATATGTCGTTCAATTATTGTACTGTAAGATATCTCGGTGTTTGTCTTAACGCTGAGAGAATAGGACTAGAGAAACACGTCATATACTAATACTGCGACAATGATTATTATGTTTATTTTGGTGCTATCCTTCCTTTTCCACTTCAAAATCTTCTGTGCCATCTACTGTAAACCGAAACCTTCTAAAGTAATGTAAAATATCACACGCAAGGCTGCTACTACATAATTTTGACAGCATTTTACTGGGAATGCTGTAAACCGGAGCAATAGTGAAGCATGAGCACACTAAGGCCTTGAATTTTTGCGTCCGCCTGTCCCAAGAGGAACGCAAGCTTCGCCTTCTCGACTTCACTCTCCTCGGCTCCCAACCGTTTGCTGATATCAGCATGTTCGTTTGTAATCGTATCGAAAGTCTTCTTCAGTTCAGTCATCTGCAAATAATTAAATACAGTATTAGATAGGTTTTTATCTGTAAGCGTGAATTTTGCAACCATGGCTGTTATTTTATCCATTTTCTCATCCTCCTGCATGCTCGAGTATAGCTGCCTTCCGGTTTCTTTAGCTATTTCCATGAGGTTTTCGTCGGAGGAGTAGAGCAGGATTTGCTCTAGCAAACGGGTGATGCATTCGTACATGTCTTGGGTGCAATCGGCTTGGATTTCGTCGAGGGCCGAAGGGCAAAGAGAGAAGGGATTTGCCATGACTAGTGATTGTTTCCGGCTGGGCGTGCGTTGTGGGGTTGGTGGTAAACTGCGTGATTGGCAAGCTTGAAGAGGTGCTCCTAAAATGTTGGTTGCGCTTGTACATAAAGAAAAGATATGATCCAAAAAAAACTATATTCACCTGGTATGCAGAGGTTGTTCGCACTGTTCACGCGCTTCATCGCCAAGTCCATATCGTCGTCGATATCATCGCAGGCTTCGGTCATTATGATTTCCGGTTGCGAAACGTCTGCTGCTTCCGGTTTGTTCGGCACACAGTCGGTGCTGGTTTGGCACTTCGCAATGCACTTCTTGTGGCAACACAAGCCACAGTCACGACACTGAACTGCATCTTTCAACCAAATCTAGGAGAAGAAAAATATCAAATGTTAAAGAATTCTTGAAACACCCAACATGTTAATGTAAGTATAGTTCGAACAATTAAAGCTTTCAATAACAATAAACTTCATGAGTCTTTGTATGATTGAAAGCATATAACTATAAATGTGATAAATGCAAGTTTCGACTAAGGATAAACATTACAGTATTGAAACAAGTAATATAAGTACACATGTTTCAAGACTAAAATGTATGATATTAAAGTAGAAAAAATATCTTCTAAATATGCACGGATTTTATGAATTGTTGCATTTCAAATAATATTCTTAATTCAAACCTTTTTAGAGCAAAAATCACAGTGAATTGTCCTATGGAATTGGGTGCGTATAAAGTCGTGCTGATTTCCGGTTTGCTTCTCGCTAGGTTTCCTCTCCAAATCATTGGTAACAACGGAATTCTTCCTGCGCATCTCGATGTTTTCATCGTGTGACCAAACGAAAGACAGCAAGATGTCACCATAGCAAAACACATGTTCGAAACCGGAATGAGACATCAACGGGTGATTCTGCATGTTAGGAATTGTATTGCTCGGTGGTAGGAAAGAGTAAGTTCTAACGTAATGACCCAACATGGAATGGCAGCAAGCGTTCAAAATCTCTGATAACGGAATGTTCGCGAATCCCAACAACGTGTCTTTATCCACAATTTTCCCCCAAACGTTTACATTCAAATACTTGTGTGTTTCCTTGAGTTTAAACAAGAAATCATCGTTGAATGTAATTATTGAGTTGTTTCCAATCTCCTTGCTCTTATGTATATCGATCAGATCGCTTTCCAAATTTTCTTCAGCTTGCAAAATTTCCGGCATTTCGGAAATCGAGTTCTTCTTGTTCAAGATGAAATTGGCAGGTATTGTTATGGCCTGCTTAAAGCTGTGCTGTGGCGTCGATGGACAACTTGGTGTTGGGGTGCTCTTGTTACTATCGCCGCTGGAAGCTCTCTCCACTGAAGTTTTCCGCTTGCGCAGCGTAAAATTCCCGAGAGTCTGAGCAAACTTCGACATATTTTCGTTGCCGCCCGAAATCAATTTCGGCATTTTATCGCTCTTCGTTTTGGGCTTTTTCACATCCACCTCCTCCGGTTTCTCGAGCACCACGAAACTCTCCTGCTCGACGACGTCCTCATCGTTCACGCAAATAACCGGATTCTCGAGTCTGTCAGTCTTCGTTTGCCTATAGTAATAACCGGAGGAGATCCGTTCAATTTTGATGCTGATGTTCACCGATGTTATGGATTTGATGATCTTGCTGATCTGCGATACGTTCGTAATGTTCTTGTTCTCAATGGCTAAAACTATGTCGGCCGGTTTAAGACCCGCGATGGCAGCTGGCGTTTGTGGTGTTACACTTTCGACGATCACAGTGTTCGCTTCTTGCTTGAAAATCACTCCCAGCTGTTGTTGTCGTACCTTCGTCATGGTCAGCTCTAGTGTTATGGAGAAGCTTCCATCTCTTTCATGAATACTAACAAAAGGAATCGTATCTGAAACAACGATTTGTAGTGTTTGGACTTATTTCAATTAGAACTGATTACCAATTGTAAACGTGCAATAGACAGTTTGTATTTCGGGACCAACGGCAAGTCGAGAGACTTCAGTGCAGGACACTTCCAAGAATCCTTGAGGAACTACATCGGTTTCTTCACTTTCCATTTGTCCTGGATCAGTTTTCACGAAGAATGGTTTATATCTAAACGAACATTTAAAAAAAATCCATAAATATTACAAGTTGAAATATTAATATTTTTCAAATTATATTGATATAAAAATTTTCAATCAATTTGTAATAAATACATATTAAATCAAGAAATTATTGTACTTTGGGGTGAAAATTGGTGAAGCTCCTTAGATTCACAGTGCGTGTTTGACGTCAATAAATTGTGGCTTCGGAAGTTTGATTTGAATCCCGAGCAATGCAATTAACTTATCCAACTTGAATATTGAGCGCCCCATTTTTGATATAAACTAGTTACATCATACAGTAGCGAAAACCATCAAGAAAATTACATGATATAAAAAAATAAATTAAATTTAGAAGAATGTACTTATTTATATTTACCTAATTTTATAATTAGGTAACGTGTGTTTCCTTTTAATAGCTTTCTTGATTTGATTCACAATTAAATTAGTGATATTGGATTGTAGCTGTCTTCCCTGGAAATGCGACTCAACAGCAAATTCCATCTCAGGTTCAGTGTAAAAGCTGAATGACCAATGGGTGTAAGGAGTCCTGGTAAACTGCAGTCTAGCTAATCCAGCTATTCTCTTCACTAGAATCATTTTTTGCATAAGAAAATGTTGCAATAAAAATTCGTAATAATATACACACAAGTAACAAAAAGTGTAAAATAATAGAAACGAAAATAAAGTGTAATTGTAATGATTTGAGAGAGAAACCTTTGATGGAAAGGTAAGCTGTTTTGCCAAACTTCATTTTGGCACCGACAGACAGAGAGAAGTTCCCAGTGTAATCCAATGTCACTGAGAGATTCAAAGTTTCTATGTGTCCCTCAGCATCATCCAATTTAATCTTGTCCAATGCTATGTTCTTAATATCAGGGAATTGTGTACCTAAATGCATATCCCTTATCTAAAACAGATGTAATCCACAATACAAAATCTAGATATCTTAGGAGAAACAAAGAAAATAATAAATTATTAAAGGAGACTTACAGTAACAGCTTCAAAAAACTTGCCAATAGTTGTTTTTGTCAGCAACTCATCAAATTCTAAAGAAAGCTTCTTGTACAACCATTTCTTAATTGAATCAGAGTGTCTTAGCTCATGAAAAAGAAATTGCAGCATAAGACTAATTGGTAAACTGGAACCAGCTTTCTCCTTTCCATCTGGAGAGTCGACAAGCTTCTTCAGTTCCTGAAAATTAACAATAAACATTATGCAATCAACTCATTGAGTTGTACATACTTCTGGTAAACAATAGGCCTCTGGGTTAATTTTCTTTGGAACTTCTTCAACAATTGGTGCTTTGTTGAAGTATCTCACTAGCACATAATACTGTATAACTAAGGTTAAAATAGCGCCCACAAATACGGAGACGCACGTTAAAATGATGAACGAGAAAAAGTCCATCGTGTTACGAACTATTTTAAAAATTTGAAAATATCACAACGTTTTTAGAGTTTCTTATTTACTCATTTTAGGGACACAAATCTGTGCACTCTGTGTATGTTTTGCAGCTGTCATTGTTGTGGTCGCTGTTTGTTGGCCCAACAAACGTCAGGTGATTTCTAATTTTATCGTTTTCAGTTATGATTTATGATTTTATTGGATTCGTTTTTAGAAAATGTGTGCGTTCGTGTGTGTTTTTCAAAGTTTAAATGATAGTTTATCTAATACGATTGAAATTGATCCGATGCAGAGACCTCTATGATCAACAAAAGGCAGGACTGGCTGAAAGTATGGATTTTAAAGGATGCAGCCAAGAAATCAAGGATTGTCACTACTATAGTACTTCCTGACATTAGATAAAGTTATTACTTTTCTTAATAACATTATTTTAGCATTATAAAATTTATCATGTAACAAAAGTTACGTAATGTTAATAATAAATCAAGGAAATAACGATTTTGATATGTCTTTATATTTTATTCCAATATTCTCAAACCGCGCAAGCTAGTTACATCGTCGAATATTCAGATTAAAGACAAAAATCTCACCTTTCCGTCGGGCTTACTGTCAACTTCGTGCTATTATCCAGTCGTCTGCTACTAGCTTTCAAACCATCTTCTGTTTAATTTTTCTTTTCAGGATGACCACGCAGGATAATTAAATAATTTAACAAGAACCATAAACAGTAGAGCGTTACCTTTCGAAAGACTCAAATCTAGCATCAAAATTTCTATTTTTGGAGTGCCTGACTATTACTCAAATTTCATGCGATTTTCGCGAAATTCTAGTAAAATCGCAATATGATCGATACCTCGAAAAATTATGAAGATTTTCTTATTTTATTAAACAGTTGGATAAAAGCAAGCGTTGCGTAATTTGCTAAATAGAAAATGTTGCGATATTACAATTTTTGAAAATTTTCTAGTATTTCTTCAATGGACTGTAGTAGGCAACCAAATATACACAAGCGTTTTTCCTTTTTCAAATTTACTAGAAAGGTACGTAACTTCAATAAATATTATTACGCAAATGGGCTACGTAAGAGAGATGCGATGATTATCAATGTCTACATATTTTTAATGAATTACTCGAGAACCGCTGACGACAATTACATAATCTTATACTCAAATTAAAGCTGAAAGTCTTGCATTTCTAATAAACACGTTGGCACTTTCAGTCGTTCTATTAAGAGCTGTTAAATATTATGTTGATGAAAATGCAACCTCTTCACGTTTTAATTTTTTAGAATAACCACAAAGGATTATTATACAATAATACCTTTTGAATAAGTACACTGAAACAATTCTATCATTGATATTTCAATTTGAAGTGGTCTTGTAAATTACCGAAAATATGAAAATATTATTCAACTGTCAATGGGATTTTGTTAAAAGCGCAGTTTGATAGAAACAAAAAGTTTTTGCTTAATAATTCGAAAACTAATGAAAGTTTTGCTTATTTTATATAGTCAGGTGCAGATAAGCATTGCACAACTATTTCCGTAACGTACGTTGTAATACGACCAGTTATCATTTTTCTCTGTTATTTTTTTTTTCTTAATTTTTAGAAAAATACTTAATTTTCTTTTATTTTTGTTGTATAATAGGAAAAGTGCATTGCTTACGCAACGTATAAAGCAAAAAAAAGTTACGTAATGTTCGTTATGTAAGAGAGAAACGACATTTTTTGATGTCAGAAGACAATTACATTATCTTACACTCAAATTAAAGCTGAAAATCTCGAGGAGACTACTGGCAGCTGTTTAGTTAGCTTTTGAATGAGCCAACTGATTAAATTCTATCAATGTTAATTCTATTTTTAAACTGTCTGAAAACTTGAGGTTTTCCTTAATACCTCGAAATTCAATGAACTTTTTTCTTTTTTTATTAAACAATTGCATAAGGGCAAGCATTGCGCAAATCGCTATATAAAAAATGTTGGGACATTACGATTTTTAAACTTTTTTAGTTTTTCATAAATAGGCAACTTATAGGCAACTAAATATACACATATTACTTTTTTTTTCGTTTCTTTTTCTAAATTACTCGAAAGTTACGTAACTTTTTTTTATATATTTATTTTTGTGCATCGTTACGCAATTTATTATGTAACAAAAGTTGTGTAATGTTTATTACGTAACGGAGAAA